AAAGTTGCTGCCAAGCAAAAGGTGGCACAGGCTGTTTGTCTTTGTACTTGTCATAAATTAGATGCTCTTTGTTCTTGGGACAGAACTATATAGGACGGCATTCTCTAACCTTGCCACGGAACGCAAGTCTGAGTGGAGCTGCCTGAGTAGTGCATTGGTAACACATTTTTTACTTGTGCCCCTTGAATTGCACTGGCTTCCTGTTTGTTTCTGGGAGCAGTTCAATATGTTGATTCTAATTTGCAAAGTTTTTCATTCTCTCTTATCTGACTACTTAGACACCATGTCTGTCTGTGCACCATCAGCGCATGTAAGGTGCTGATGGGACCAGGTGCACAGACAGACATGGTGTCTATCAGCGCATGTAAGGTGCTGATGGGACCAAGATGTGTGTTCTGAAGGCCTGGAGCAGAAGGTCCCCAGCTGTGGGAATACTCTGCTTTGGCCAGTCTGAGAGCTTTCAGATTCACGGATTTCTTTTTCAGAAGGCCATGCAAGGCTCCTTTTTTTAATTTTTTTTTTTAAAAAGTCCAGATTGACTCTGGTTATTTATCATCCTTGTGATATTTATAACGGCTTGTTAAGGCACCAGGGCTGCTTGTGCTTTCTCTTGTGAGCAGTTTCATTTCTTCTTTATGTTAACTTGCGTCATGTGTGCAGCTGCCACAGCATGAGTGCATAAAAATATAGAAATGTCATCCCTTCTGTTTCCTACAGCTTCAACCTTCAGGTTTCTAATCCAACATTAATATCGGCGTTCCAGAGGGCTCTTGGTGTTAACTGAAATATGTTTTGTGCTGTTTGGGTGGTGTAAAATTTAAATAATGTCTGAAATTTATGATCACGAAGGATTGTGAGGTGCATTCCAGTAAATGCCAGAATTACCTCAGGAGTATAGCCATGCCATTGCACCTGGATAATGCAGTGTCCACAACTTTTGACACTTATGGTACCTGTTAGAGGGGCTGGGAGGCAGAGGCCAGATGTATAACTCCATTTAGCATTGCAAGGTAGACCTAATTTATGCCTATCCCCCTTTGAAAATATGGAACCCTCTTTGGAGAGGAGGTATAAATGCAATTGGTCCCCCTGACTTGAGTCTTAAAAGGCCTAAACAGGATGTAGAACAACTTTATCATGGGATTTACCTTTTATGGGCAACACTAAATAAATCTTTGATAAAGGGGAGGACAAATAGATGGAAATATTAAATTTATGTGTGTACTAATGTAACCCACACAATATACCCTCTCTCTCTAGGAGTACCCACCCCTACCACTTCCTAGGACTCAGGCATAACCCTCTCAATATAGGCACCCACCTGTACCTGTTTCTAGGGCTCAAAGGTAACATTTCCAATATAGGCACCCACCCTCACCCATTCCTAAGGCTTAGGTGTAACCTTACACTTTGTGGGGGTCTTTTACCAATACAGTAAGGCTACGTCTACACAACAAGGTTTTTGTGCAAAAACCTGTGGAGCGTCCACACCTCCAGCATACTTTTGCGCAAATAAATCAACAGTCAATCGACAGAACAGAAGGCTTTTTGTGGTGTAGGTAAACCTTCTTCTACGAGGCATAACTCCTTTTTGTGCTACAGTTGTTGCACAAAAAGGAATATGTGGATGCTCTGCAGGGGTTTCTTGCGCAAATAGAACCTATCTGAAAAAGCACAGGTGCTCTGATGCAAATGGCCATCAGAGCTTTCTTGCGCAAGAGTGTCCATGCAGTGTGGATACTGTATTGCACAAAAGCGCATCGCAAAAGCGATGTGCTTTGAGGTGTGGATGCGCTTTTGCACAAGAAGTTTTTGCGCAAGAAGTCTAGACATAGCCTAATGTCCTACTTAATCTGTATTTATTAACAATAAGCAAAACCAGACACAAACACCAGTCACACAGTGCTCACCACTCCCAATGAAACAGGTGAACTCGTCTTGATGGCCAGTCAGGATCAGCTCCATCCCGGGGGAATCCAGTTACAGCACCATGTCATTGGCACAGGGTTGAGATCTAGCAGGTCTAATCTTGGAGCTGTGTCCTAGAGTTGGTTCCCAAAGAATTTCCTTTTGGGCCCCAGTTTATATAGTGAAATCAGAGTCCTGCTTAGCTATACCATAACCAATTATTTTAGTTTAATTTTACTAATCATCATAATATACTGGGACAGAATTACCTAACCAATCATACCCCCCCACCTTGGTGGATTTACACCTAGCAAAATTAATTACACAGAAGACAGAAACAATTAAAAACCAGACCAAGACCATACAGATAAACACTAGGGCTACATCTACACTGGCCCCTTTTCCAGGAGGGGCATGTAAATTTCATGAGTCGTCGTAGGGAAATCCGCGGGGGATTTAAATATCCACCGCGGCATTTAAATAAAAATGTCCGCCGCTTTTTTCCGGCTTTTAAAAAAGCCGGAAAAGAGCGTCTAGACTGGCCCCGATCCTCCGGAAAAAGCGCCCTTTTCCGGAGGCTCTTATTCCTACTTTGAAGTAGGCTCTTATTCCTACTTTGAAGTAGCCTCTTTGAAGTAGGCTCCGGAGGCTCTTATTCCTACTTATTCCTACTTTGAAGTAGGAATAAGAGCCTCCGGAAAAGGGCGCTTTTTCCGGAGGATCGGGGCCAGTCTAGACGCTCTTTTCCGGCTTTTTTAAAAGCCGGAAAAAAGCGGCGGACATTTTTATTTAAATGCCGCGGGGGATATTTAAATCCCCCGCGGATTTCCCTACGACGACTCATGAAATTTACATGCCCCTTCCGGAAAAGGGGCCAGTGTAGACGTAGCCTAGGAAAGTGAGTGCCATAATCCTAGAATGAGGATTCTACAACCTCAACTAATGATAAACAATTTCTTGGCAGAGGAAATGCTGTTAACTGTTTTCTTTACCCATCTTGAGATCTGTTTCTTTATCTGGTGACAGTGGGTGCCATTAGGCAGGGTCTCCTTAATAGCCTGGTCTCACACTATTTTAATGCAATTTAGATGGAATGTGGGTATGAGACTCCAAGCTTTACAGCTAATGGCTTCTGCTGATCATTCTGGCTGCAGAGGAAGGCTTTAGGCTTTCCAATTTGGCTTTAGGCCTTCCAGTATGGCTCTAGAAAAATCATACTGTTACAATAGGACCATATTTGGCTTTAGCAATACACTGGAGAACTTCCTTATGAAGACCATGTCATTATAGAAAATGGTCCTTGTAATGCAGCCAAGAGCACTGAGACCTATAATAGTCGTCTGCTGCATAAGTGATGATAATGGGAATTCAGTGCTAGTGATGGTGGCTTAAATATTAATGTTCAGTCATTCTCCTAAGATATATTTTGGGGAAAATATATATGTAAGCATGTTGGTGTACAGAGAAATTCTGGTGCCTTGCATAAAAGGGCTTTGCTTGGAGAACGTATTGGAGCTGATGGGAACACGAGGAGCCATGGAATC